TCCTAAATTTAGTTCATTAAAACTGTTGGCCATTTAATAACCAGACAAAAATTTTTTATCACATGAAACTGACCATGCATTTTTGGTCACTGAAAACTGATGATGTGTTTTTGTTCATTTAAAACTGAATATGACTTTTGGCAATTCAGACACTGGATATAAAATTGGACATAAATTTATGGTTTTAAAAACTGGACATAACATTATGGGTTTAAGAATTCCCTATACATTTTGGTTATTAAAAACTGGTAATAAGTTTATGGTAATTTAAAACTGTAAGCAAACGCATGTATGTAATTTAATAACTGAAAATTAAATGAATTAAAAAAAGTATACAAAAAACTAAACATTATAAAAGACCAAAATGTATGTACGTCCAGTGAAACTCGAGAGTCACACCTCTTAATTTATCAGAGCGTCCTTCTTCATAGATTAAAATCACTGAAAATGCTAAAAATTTACTTTTAAAAGTACCATCCTATGGAAATATATGTATATGTAAGTACACTAGGGTGGTCCAAAAATATTTTTATTTAGTATTTCTTTTAAATTATGTTTGGAATTTAAATTTTAAAATCAATATTTTTCTAACAAAAAACTGTGTTTCTCTTCAGGAGACTTGCAGTAACAATACCCAACTGTTTATTTAACCATTTTTTAATATTAACTATCACTTAAAAGTCCCCCAAACACCACGAAGAATGCTATGGGGGCACTCATAAAATATCATTAGTATAAAAAGGTGGTAAAATAAAAAAACTTGGGAATTATTTTTGGAAGTCTCCAGAAGAGAAACAGAGTTTTCCGATTGAAGAATATAGATTTTCAAGAATCCTATACCATTTCTACGAAAAAGTGTTTTTTCCCTATTAAATGTGTACCTATATGGAAGGCTTCATGGGACTTGAGGCAGTTCTGAATGTTAATTTTTTTAACAAAAACATACAGGCATTCTTTTTCTCCATTTGGAAAAATCCTAGGCGGTGATAGCTTAGCATTTTAAACTTTTTTGTTTTGTACCACCCGCATGTACACAGATATGAACACACTCAATACTCACAGCATATCTCGTCAAAGCCAAAACTAGTATGAAATTAGTGTTCTGACGGCGCATTAAAGTATGTATGCCTGCAAGGTATTTGGTTGCATTTATTTGCATACGCACACAAACAGACATACATACTTCTAAATGTATACGGTCGCCCGTGTTCAAATATTTAACTACAAAAGAATATTTATGCATATACATAATTATATTTTAGTTCGCCTCTCCGCCCTTTATCTCTCCCACAAACACTCATCAGCTTGTTTACAAAACAGAATTTCCTCGCTGCTATCCCTTCCGCTCGCTCACCGGGCCGCCACCCTCTGCGGTTTAGTTTGTGTAGCCAACACAAAGTAGCCAACACGTCAAGATGACGTCAGCACAAGCGTAAAATCACGTTTTTCACGCACGTTGCTTTGGTGAAAACAAAAAAAAATTCATTTTGTTTAACTTGCGGCATGTGGCAAACAAGTCATGCCGCCACCTCCATCTCCACATCTAACCACCAACGCTCGTATGGCATATCGCATTACTTGTTGTTTGACTGGCGCAGCAGTTTAACGCTTGGCCGCTTTGCAGCAAAACACCCTCTGCCGCAATAATGGTGATAGAGAAAAGAGGCGCTGCCAGTAGCAGCACTTGCAATCAGCGCTTTTGAGCAGCGGGGTGGTTTTGTGGTTTAGGTGTGAAATTGTATGCAAAAGTATGTATGCAGAAATGAAGCAAAAGTGTAGAACAACGCGCTAAGCTTATTTGCGGTCAGCTACCCTAACTCCCCTTAGGTATTGTCTGCTATCCGCCACTGGCATTAATTCTATGTTTGGCCGTAATGACTAAAGGTATGCTCCAAGTCATAAGTAAGTTGCTTTGTTGCTCGTTAGCTTGAAGAGGGAGAGCTTTTTGTGGATTGTATTAAGCTTTTAAAGCTTTGCAGTAGCTAACGCACAGAAATTCAAATTGTGGGAAAGTAAATAATAGACTGTAGGTATATACATTAGGGTGTCTCACCAAAAAAAAATATTGTTTTTCCTCCGAAATGAACGAATTTGTTATACTATTAAGATTTACGTGAGCTGGGCCAATAAACCTTTTAAAAAATTTTATTTGATTTTTTGGAAAAATTATTTTCAAAAACTAATTTTTGTTATAAAAACAGATTTTTTGAGGTATTTTCAGATCGCTTGAACTCGTCTAAATCTTAATATTTTTGTGGAATATTTTTTCAGAAGTCTTAGATTATAATAGTTTTTATAATTCCATCACAAATACGGAGACTGATGCATCCTATTGTTCATGCAGGTGTGCATTAGGGATGTTAATTTTTCGGCTTTTTCCGATCCCGGGATTTTCGGTATGGCGTTGTCACAACCCCGGGATCCCTGAATTAGTTCCGGGATTTAGATATTCATTACATATTCAATAATTGGAATCGAAAAAGTTGCTTCTATGTTGTTTGAGAAGCTCTCCTACCACGAAATAAATAATAAACAAATGGGTTTGAAACCCTTATTTAAAGTGGCGTTTTTATTTTCTCTCTGACCGCAGGGTTTATTTTAAAGGACTTCGTAATTTCAAAGATATGATTAATTCCAAAAACTATTAAATAAATTCAATGCAATGTAGAATAAAAATATGGGTAAAAAATGCAATAGGAAATTTCTTTAGAGGTAAAAAATTTTAATTTTTTAGATTCACAGGGACGAATAGGTAATTTTTAAGCTGACAAAGTTAGAAGAATGATATTCGAGGATTTTATCGAGTTTATATAAGCCTTTAACATATAATTTTTTTCAAAAACAAAATTGCGAAATTTCAAGGATAAAATTTTAAAATGACATTTTCAATATTTACCAGGCGTTCTGCACCAGAAACTTGAATCTGTTTAAATTCTAATTACAAATCCCGAAAATCCCGGAATTACTTGCCAATTTTTGAGCCCTTAAAAAGTCCGGGATTCCGGGATTAACATTCCTAGTTTGCATACTCCATCATTGCGAATACTCACAGATACAATAGGGCGCGATATTTCTTCGAATGGCATATTCAGTTGAGGTTATAATATTTAGTTGCTAACATATTAATGGATCGTACAAGGGTTAAAATAAAAAATAAAAAGTTTTTAAACGAAGAAAAATTCTTACTTAGTTCGCCGAAAAGTAAAATTTCATTGGGAAGTTTTTGTTGATTGGCGCTCCACTCGTTATCATCTTCGTTTTGCTATTGTCAGGGTCCATTAAATACCTATGTACATGCACATGTTAAGATATGTTGAGGGCTCAGGCGTGAAACTTCCTTGGACCTTTAAAAAGTTGTTCTTTGCATTGCCACTTCAGTTTGGTAGCTAGTTCATAAAGCGCTGTAAGACTGATGTGATGTTCTTAAAACCTTATCGGAGCTATTTAGGAAGTTCAATTTCAGTCAAGCGAATGCAGAATAAATTAAAATAAAGCGATGACATTATTGCATATCTGGTGAGGTGGCTCTTGGAGTGCTCCAGAGAAATATTCAGCGGAAGATTTACGGGCCTTAATGCGTTGACGACGATGATTTTTTTAAATAATCTTTTAGAATTTATCGAATCTTTGAAATTATAAAGTTCTAATAAAAAAAAATCTAAAACTAAAAACACCGTTTTATTATATTTGGCCCATAGCGTTGTGAGTATATTGATTGCTTGGTGTGTTTTGAAATTTTTTTGTTTCAAACTGTTACAATCTTTTTACTCGGAATTTTTAGGAAAAACTTAGGTACGTAATATTATAAGTATAGCCCATTAAATTACAGGAGGATAAAGTGCAAGTTTCAAGTGACTAAGAGTAATGTTGATTTGTTATAATTTTTAGACTGGCGGCGTCACGCATTTTCTCCCATACAAAGTATATTCGGCAATTTGTTTATATGGAAGAAAGTGCCCAGCATCGTTTAAACAATTCCCAAAAATCAACGGTATTTTGTAACTGCACTACATTTTATTCTACTTTAATTTAATGGGCTTCTAAAAATGCTGAGTATAAAGTTTAAGATTTTGGCATTTTTATAACTAGTATACAAATTTTGAAATGCGCATTTAAATGAAGTTAATTATATACAAAATGAAGCAGACTTTTATAAAAATAATTTAATTATTAAATAAAGAAAAGAAATATAGACTAAACTGGTTGAAATAAGGCGTTTCTTTTATTTGTGCCACGAGTACTAATTACGTTCTAGATGCTTCACGATTTGCAGATTTTACAGGATTTGCGGGAACAGCTGTTTTCTCCATTAATAAACCTTCTGGAAGGTGGTCACCTGGAATGGCTTCTTGTAAAAATCTGCAAATCGTGAAACATCTGAAAAGCAACTATTGTGAACTTCTTTCAGTATTGTTAAATGCGTATAAATTTAATTATGTACTGTCTTTTGTTTTGTTACTAATGAAATATTTTACAACTTAAATAATAAAGTAAATTTCAAACCCATTTATTTATTATTTATTATATGGTAGGACAGCTTCTTAATCTATATTGATGCCATTTTTTCATGTTACGTTGTTGGAAAATAATGAATATCTAAATACTGGGACTAATTCCTGGATCCCGGGATTGTATGAACGATGTTCCGAAAATCCCGGGATCGCAAAAATCGATCGAAAAAATTAACACTCCTAATACATATGTAGGTAAATAAAGCTATAAGTATATTTTGAAATATTATGTACTAGCAAATTTCTTATGCACTCAAACGTAAATCCGTCACAGCTGACGCCAGTCAGTCATATGAAAATAAAATAATACAATCAATACATCTTAGCTTGTTTGAAAAAATATATTCTGGTAATGTATTTTAGTATTACTTATTTTTCTATTTGTTCCTACATATTGAAAGAAACAAGAGCGTAGGATAAATATTAAATGTTTACTACATTTTATTCATTTTTTATTATTACTTTAATTTAATTATCATTAGTAGGTAGGTAATAAATAAATAAAAACTACAAAACTTAAATGCTATATTTTTGTTTTTAGAAATCATTAAACAATTGTAAATCTCTTTGGTCTACTGCTCTGGCTGGTTTCCAATCCTTTTCGGGGTAGTCATCAAAATTGCTCGTATCACCATCGGATGTGACATCGGGTACGATTGGTGCCTGCAATGAGAAACAAAAGAAAAAAACGTCAGTTGGAAATTTGCAGATAGAAACACATATGTAAGTTCTTCAAATATAGCAATAATCTTGACCGACAAAAACACTTTTTATTTACAGAAAAAGTCAAAATGATTTAAACAAATTTGCATATGTTGCAAACATTAGGTTATCTACATAGTTTGTGAAGAGTGAAAAGTTGCAAGTTGCCGGCAAATTTGTTAGAATATTTTTCAGATCAAGGAAAAAACAAGTAGGAGATGAGTATGTATGTGCATTCGGGTGGTTCTTAAATGTCAAAAGCTAATTTTAACATCAGATTTCCTAAGCCTCAACCCCTACGTCGCTACTAGAGTTGAAGATATCAAATATAAATTTTGGCCCAGATTGGAAACGGTTAAGGCATGTCGCACAGGGGTCAATTAATTAATTAATCCCAACCGACACGAGGGGCGCTGTCCGCATGACGTACGAAACTTGTTTTTTTTTTGTTTTTTTTTGTGCCGAGTAGTGGAAACGGGAGTTTGTTGAGTGTCGATATCTAAAACTATTCAGCTACAGAATAAAATTCATCAAATTTGTCAAATTTCTGAGTATCGATTTTGGGTATTAAATGAAAAAAAAAAAAAAATAATTATTTGAGCCATAGAGGTATCTGGCCTTTGATCACTTTGCGACACGCCTCCACCGAGTCCGATCGGATCCAGGGGGGCACCGAATTTGCGCATATGGAAACTGTGCATTTAGATATTATTTCGGTTTCAACCGAAACTGTGCATGCATGCATTATTTCGGTTTTTGTTATATGCATTATTTCGGTTTTCATCCGAAACTGTGCATGTATGCTTTATTTCGGTTTTTACCATATGCATTATTTCGGTTTTCATCCGAAACTGTGCATGTATGCTTTATTTCGGTTTTTACCATATGCATTATTTCGGTTTTCATCCGAAACTGTGCATGTATGCTTTATTTCGGTTTTTACCATATGCATTATTTCGGTTTTCATCCGAAACTGTGCATGTATGCTTTATTTCGGTTTTTACCATATGCATTATTTCGGTTTTCATCCGAAACTGTGCATGTATGCTTTATTTCGGTTTTTACCATATGCATTATTTCGGTTTTCATCCGAAACTGTGCATGTATGCTTTATTTCGGTTTTTACCATATGCATTATTTCGGTTTTCATCCGAAACTGTGCATGTATGCTTTATTTCGGTTTTTACCATATGCATTATTTCGGTTTTCATCCGAAACTGTGCATGTATGCTTTATTTCGGTTTTTACCATATGCATTATTTCGGTTTTCATCCGAAACTGTGCATGTATGCTTTATTTCGGTTTTTACCATATGCATTATTTCGGTTTTCATCCGAAACTGTGCATGTATGCTTTATTTCGGTTTTTACCATATGCATTATTTCGGTTTTCATCCGAAACTGTGCATGTATGCTTTATTTCGGTTTTTACCATATGCATTATTTCGGTTTTCATCCGAAACTGTGCATGTATGCTTTATTTCGGTTTTTACCATATGCATTATTTCGGTTTTCATCCGAAACTGTGCATGTATGCTTTATTTCGGTTTTTACCATATGCATTATTTCGGTTTTCATCCGAAACTGTGCATGTATGCTTTATTTCGGTTTTTACCATATGCATTATTTCGGTTTTCATCCGAAACTGTGCATGTATGCTTTATTTCGGTTTTTACCATATGCATTATTTCGGTTTTCATCCGAAACTGTGCATGTATGCTTTATTTCGGTTTTTACCATATGCATTATTTCGGTTTTCATCCGAAACTGTGCATGTATGCTTTATTTCGGTTTTTACCATATGCATTATTTCGGTTTTCATCCGAAACTGTGCATGTATGCTTTATTTCGGTTTTTACCATATGCATTATTTCGGTTTTCATCCGAAACTGTGCATGTATGCTTTATTTCGGTTTTTACCATATGCATTATTTCGGTTTTCATCCGAAACTGTGCATGTATGCTTTATTTCGGTTTTTACCATATGCATTATTTCGGTTTTCAACCGAAACTGTGCATGCATGCATTATTTCGGTTTTTGTTATATGCATTATTTCGGTTTTTTTCATATGCATTATTTCGTATGCACAGTTTCCATATGCACAATTTCAGGGTGCCGATCCAGGATTTATATGTGATATCTTCTACTATGGCAGTATCAATTTTGGGTATTAGATGAAACATTTTTTTTTTAATAGTTTGAGTCTCTATAGAAGAATTTGTGGGGGTGCGCCTGAAAAAAATCGTTCATTAAATTTTTTCAGGGCCACCCTAATGTACATACATACATATATACAATTCCATATGTATTATAGAGAATACATACAATATATTGCAGACACGTGCGCTGCTTTGAGCCGACAACAACGTAAAGAACAAAAAGATTTTAAACATCCATTTGTAATAACAACGACCCGATAAACGCCATTAAGCACATTTTTGCAAAAAATTTTCCTAATATTCATAACTTAGAAAAATACCAGCAGCAAATACAAACATTTACCCTCATTTCACTGCTGCCTGTCAGTGATTTATTGCAGTTGCATTAGCAACCGCTCAGCCGTCAATAAGCATAAAACAGCAGCCAGCGAAAAATAGCAAACAGCAAAAAAACAGAAAATCCAAGAGGTCGAACATCCAAAAAGGCCAACAGTGCAACTAACAACTATTTAGAAGACTGAGTAATCGATGGAGCGCACTTGAAATATATGCCCAGTAGGAAAATTAGTTAACGAAAGTCTTCTTAAAAGAATTTGAAATTAAAACGTATCTTATGTAGTAGAAATTGGGTATTTTTTCGCATTCCAGACAAAACGAGATATGGTTGCTGAATTTAAACCTCACGAACGCAGGGCTGCTAAGAAGAAAATGCTGAGATGAATCGTTTTTCGTATCTTCCAAATGCCGCGGAATAATGTCTTATGCCGTGTGTGCCTATTGGGCAGTACCCGGACCAGACTCTTTTTAAGCTACAGACTTGTCAGTTAGCGAGCATATGATCTTCAGCCATACAGTTTCTTGTACTTGATCCATATAAGCCTGATTTGGAAGTTGATGTATTTTGGAACGAACACCAACACCAAAATCTGAAAGGGAAGTTAAGACTGATATTTTGACGGCACCGTAAGCGAACTCAGATTTCGTATTTGCAGGGAGACTTTTTTCTCAAGAACTCTATATCACCCTCAATTTTAGATTTTCAAACCTATGTACCATCCAACTATGGCCCATCTGTGGGGCGAATGGCAATCTCTGGAGTAAAGGTCCAATAAACATCTTCACGGACGGACCGAAGCCGGACGGGAGAGTTTGAGGAGGTGTTTACTGTCAGTAACTCCTAATAGATCTTATGTTCAGACTGCCAGAGCTCTGCGGCGTATTTCAGTCAGAGGTGGCCGCTACAGAAGAAGCAGCCGATTGCAATTTTTTTTTGCTGACTAGGAGAGTAAATAACTACTCTATTAGCGGTAATCAAGGCGCTGAAATTATTTCCAAATCAAACTGATTTTTGTCCCAGGACAAAGAGACACAACCGACGAATGGGCTAGGTAGGGCACACTCGAAGCCGTTACCTTGAACAGGGAGGGCATATAAATTCCGTTGGCAACCTGTGGCCTGCTCTTGAACAGATTAGCTCATAATCGGCTTATCGAGCGCTGGACAAAAACTCCGACATGCAAAGTCGCAATAACTTTTTGACCGGTTGTTGATCGTGGGCGGTCAGCTTCTGCAGGTTTAATGACCGGACATTGTCCTTTAGGAAGGCACGCAGTGCGACTTAATTTTCTCACCCTTCCGGCATTCGCTAGACTAAGGTCTACACAGCAGGCACTTCTCTTAGTTTAACACAGAGAATCTGTACTTACCATTCAAATAATTAGCGTAATATGGTAACACAGTGGATAATCTAATTAATGTCTAAGTGAGTCCCCCTAGTGGGGTCTGCCACAACAAGCTAACCTAGATACTGTTTTCTCCGACTCATCCCTAGAGGGAATAAATAAATATTTACTGGCAGCTAACACCAGCAGACACCGATTTGTTTCTTTCGGAATGAATTGGAAGATTCTCGAGTGCCCATAGGCTGTGTTGACTGGAAACCTACGGAAAATTAATCGGTTTGCGGAACCGACAGCGAATGATTTGTCTTCAATATCGCATTCAATATAGCGGAAGGAGCGTGGGTAGGGGTAGGTCGAAGCACTGAAAGGAGTCGAATAAAAACAGCTATTCGAAGGCGGTCCAGCTGCTTTACTAAACTACGTAGTTTTAATGGCTTGATTATGATTTTTAAAAGCCAATAACACAGGCTTATAAAAAAAAGTTTCTGCATATTGAACCAAGTCTCTATTTCCCGTTGTTTTTCGACGCCCTGGATGCGAATCCGAAGCCTGTTAGCCTCCATCACATCAGATTCGAATTTGATCTTGGGATTACACTGGCAGGACCTCTTGATGACCTTGAGGAATCTTTAAATTCAGCGCAAACAAAAACAAAAAAAACAAAAATTATTGTATAAATTTTTTGTCCTATTTGACCCCCAAATGACCTCAACGGACCTCAGATTCGTGTTCAGCGAGTCTAAAACCCCATGTATATCAATTACTAGGTTCATTCAAAGAATTTTTCCCTACTTGATCGTCAAATTACCCCGAACCTGACGTGATGGGGACGAACAGACCTCGGATTCGCATTCAGCGCGTCGTTTCATCTATTTTCTTCTCAATATTTGGTCAAGAGGAGATCTTCTCCCACTGAGACCTACGCAAGCTTATGCAAGGATCTGTGATATGTATGCTTGTGTGTCACCATTTTACAGGCGTTTTACAAATTTGGTAACCTATGTTATTTTTAAGAAACATTTAAAATTTACCATCATCTGAGGAAGAAGCTAGGTGAATGACGGAATCTTATAATTACTTAAAATCTTATTCTTGAAAGGGACCAGCGTTCATTTGCCTGTTTCCTATATTTTACATTTGATTCAGTTTTTTTTACTCTGCTTTGGATTTTCTCCTAATGAAGGCATCTATAGCAAGCACATGCTACCAATGAACCCCTGCTGTGTTTAACAAACGCAACCAAAACTAAGAGCAAACAGATGTTTATTGAAATAAGAGAACCTACGCACGTTTTTCAAATGGTTTTGAACTTTTCAACTGAAAATGTTTCAGCCAAAAGTAAATATAACGTATTTGGGATGTGTAGTCATCGTATAGAAGAAGGTCCAAAACGAGCATCGCATTTTCTCACCCGACCGCTATGGCTAGGAAACCTCGCCAGACACACAAGTGGAAAGATCTTCTCCGAATAAACTTCTTCCTCGCCCCCGATCGAATATCATCGTCACATTTCTAGAGAACATTGGAGCAGGCAGTAAGGGGCAAAACAACCTGACTACTTCTTTGGCATGTATGTACCTCTGGTAGATTTCGGCGCTTCTGCATCCTACAATGGCATGTATCTAACCTCCGTAGACCGAGATCGTTTAGGGAATGCAGCAGTGGGAGGATTGAGGAAGAATTTCTCCTGCTTGCGTTTCGCCGCCTGCTTTTGCCTTCTGCTTTTCTTCTCTTCTGTGAAAAATGAAGCCAGGCCCACGCCAATACTGGGCGGACTCCTGCTGCCCGACTTATGTTCACTAGGAGCGGGAGCTCCTGCACTAACTCACAAGAACTTGAACTGGCCATCCCCACTCTCCACCATCGCTTAAAAACTTAGGACTTCTGTGATGGTTGGGGCAGAGTACAAATACATTGATTCTGCCGCAAGTACCGACGCCTTTCCACGTGTGTGTGTCTATCTCAGGCGTTGGATCTTTACGTTCATACAAATTGACAATTTAGTTCAACTTTCAGTGTGCTGTTTAGCTCTGCTGCCAGGGTGATCGGTGCTGCAAAGGTTATTCTTGCCGCCATTTTCCCAATTCCCGTGATGCACCGTGAGAAAATTTATGCGTATATATTCGAAATCCCCTATCCCACTGAGAAATAATTTACTCTGACTTTCTGGGTTCCCATAACGTAGAAGGAAACTAGAATACGGATGAATTAGCTAAGTAAAAGGAGGTGAGGATGAGGTCAGGAATTTACAGTTTTAAAATAACACCGTGCTATGGTCAGACTATTCCAATCCAAAGACCATAGATCTACAGCCAGAAAACCATGCACCAATGTCTTGGTGTTGCAACATCTAATGTTAATGTTAAAGAAGCACCTAAGAAATACAAAATTCATAAAAAAGTCAAACTAAGCTACCGTGGTGCAACCAAAATTTAATTTAAAAAAAAGCGAACGATTGATTAATTTTGCGAAAACAAATTATTTCAAGTGCACATAAAATTAATCGAGTGAAAAATTTTGAAATATTTTCTATAATTAAGCGCATAAAGAAAAATCTCTTGTTACGCTAAAATACCTATGAATTATTTAATTATCTTCACGGCAGGACACATATTTTGGGGAAAAATATTTTTTAACAAGTAAGAAAGTCTAAGTTCGGGCGGGGCCGAACATTAAATACCCGGCGCAAGTATTACATATATGCCTTTTCACCTTTCCGAAAGCTACAGCTACATGGTAAGCCGGGGTGTATCAATTTTGAATAAATTAGCGTCCTTAAATTTCGAAATATTGACGTTTCGAGCATTTCTAAAATTTACCGTTATATGAAAAGCCGTAATTTTAGTCCGATTTCAATAATTTTGAAAGTTTTGCTATTATGTGGCAAGCACAATAACCATACCGAGTTTGGTACAAATTGGTAGAACGGTTACCGAGATACATACATATATGTGATCATAAGTGGGCGGTGCCACGCCCATTTTCCAAAATTTTATGATAAGCGTATTTCCTGATAAAGAATGGTTGCAAGCATCAATTTTGAATAAATTGGCTTCAATATTTACGGATTTATCGAAGATTTCGTATTTCTCCAAATTACCGTTATATGGGATGTGGGCGTGGTTATTGACCCATTTTTAAAATTTTCGGCCATTTGGTATCCTGTACCAAGGCCAATAACTGTGCCAAGTTTGGAAGAAATCGGTGCAGCGGTTGCCAAGATATACACATGTAACACTAAGTG